GTGACTCTTGCCTGGGTAAGAACTGAGCCATGCCATACAGTCCATTCTGAACAAGCAGGGCTTCTTAGAGGTCCAGGCYCTGAATTTCTTATACAATATTTTGTCATGCAAAATTGTAATTGAAGGACAGAGGGAAAGGGATAGAAGTGGTAACTGAGGAAGGGCGGCACCAGCATATAGCTGTATAAGCATGATTGTTGAAGTATAACTTTTGAATGTTCTCTGCAAAGGAGAGACTAATCTCCTGTTTTATAATTTTAAGTCAAGTATATACCTTTGGAAAAAAGAAAAAYCACTGTATGTGAATGTACCTCCAACTCAAAGTCAGTTTTTGAAGCAGAGGAGTTAAAGCACAGAGATAACCATGACTATTGAAGATTGCTGTGTATTTTTCTGTGCTTTGTAGAGGCTGTACCATTTATGACATATTGTGCATTTAATCTAATTTTACAAGCAGAATAGGTGCTTTTGCAGCTACATCATCATAGGCAAYAAATAGATTTAATTACAAGGGCAGACATTATCTTCTGTGGAAAGGTAGGCATATCAGAGTTCTTGGAGCTGGAGACAGAGTGATTACATTTCTCTCTAAGTACTTCAAACAATGTGATAAAGAAGGAATCTGTCCCTCCACATTCCATTCAAAACACTTAAAGTACTTGCTAGGCTGAATGTTTCCACTCTCCCTCTCCCAGGTTCCCCCTAGAATCCTGGGTAGAGTAATGCAAATTCAATTCTGTAGATACTATTGTATGTTTGAATACCCAATACCCAAGAAAATCTTGAATAGCTCTAAAAATAGCACTAAAATAGAGCAGTTCAAGGGAGCACCAAGGTAGAGGTGAGCAGGCCAATCTCAGGAACGAATAAGCTATAAAAGCCATGAGCTTCTTTATCTTCCACAAAGACATCTCCCTTAAATTTAAATAGCTGCTGTCATTGTCACTGACTACCTGACTATGTATTTATCTGCCCAGAAGCAGAGTGCATGGCCTTTGGCCCTGCTATTCATGGCGTTACTGTCTCTGCCTAACAATACCCTGAACAGAGCTGGGTTTCTCTTAGCATCTTTTGTTTGATGTGAATCGCTGAAGCTTTGATGTTGTTTGTGAGAAATATAATGATTTAAAAGAATAAGATCCTCACTGTCCCACTCTGTGTGCTCCCCACAGAGAAATCTAATCTGGGTTGGGAAAATTCCGTGACTGATCCTGTCTTAGGTAGAYACAAACATCAGAGTACACAAGAGAAATCTGTTATGTTGAAACTCTCTCTACTGGAAGGTCAGAGAGGTAATTTGTCTTAATGATCAAAATTCCATTTCCTGTTACACAAACATTTATGTTCAAATAGGTACAGAATACTTYCTCTGTGTTGTGAACACAGCTGTCAGCATAGCCACAGTGTTTTATTTTCAGTGGGATGCTTCAGATTTTCTGCTTTAGCTGCATGTACTTCCTCATTATAGGACATTCTAACAAAATAAGGGATTATTTTATACAGAGGCTACATTAGTAGGTTTGAAATGCTGTACAGTTTCAAAAAAGTGCATTTTTCTTTAGAAATTATTATTCTAATAAGCTTGTGTCTCATCTCTACTGATACATGCTTTTTCTTACTGTCATTTTTGAATGATGATGCAGTAAAGGGTAACTAAAGCCTCTAAAATTTGAGATTCATTGTAAATGGATGGCTGTTCTGCTACTCAWGCAAAGGCTCCACTGTTACATAAAAATATTCTGATCTGTGATGACTACAGTAACAAAAAAAGTAAATTAATAAAATTATARTGTCCTAAGTGTAATAAAATGCAATGAACAAAAATTGAAATGCTTTTTTTTCACAGGCCTTTGATCCACAGGGTGAAGGAAATGGATTTGATTACTACGTTATTATGAAATTGGAGGTGACTTGATTCCTACATTATGCAGCAGATAGGGGAGAGAGCAAGGGAGCAGAGCCATGGCTTACCTTGTGCCAAGAGCAGTCAGGTTTACAGASCAAGCACAAAGGTTTTGGGTTTAGATACCTGGATATGGGAAAATTCCATAATTCCAGAAATTATTTTTTAAAAAATATATATCTATATCCGCCTTCAGTCTTTACAATAGCTCATGGTGTAGTACATTTAGTGTATCACTGACCTTTCTTCTGGGTGGGATGGGCATTCCAAGGGGCAGTCAAACAGGACTGCTAATGGAAATTGCATAGATCTTGTTGATTTGCTAGTCACCTGTAAACCYTCTCACAAAAAGGGGCCAAACTCAGGAACAGTTTAGCCAGGTAAGCAAGGGATGTGATACACGCGCCCCAGTTAAGGAGACTTCATYATCCTTTACTTGGGAGAACTACTGCATCTCCAAGCGAGTTGTCTTGACCTACCTTAAGGAAATGCAGAAAGCAGAGCAGATGGAACCAAATCTCCACAAAGGATGTTTCAGAACTGAGGAAGATAAGTCTAGAAATGCTGTAGCTCTAAAATATGCTGCAAAGTTTRTATAMTGTTTTAAGCATGAAGCATTCCTCGTGGGCACTCTGGTGTAGCCTTGTTCATAAGCTTGGACTGSAGAGATGATACGGTTTGTTTTGGTACTGTAAGAGGCACTGGGATGGTGCCAGACCACTCCTGGAAGTTTGGGCTGTGGAGTTCCTTCAGTATTGCACACCTCAAATGTCTGCAACTGCCAGGAATAGCCTACTCTTTGGAGTTACTTTGAGCAAAGACAATTTCAGGGAGCTCTGCTGATCTCACATGTGATATTATTGGGAGTTGCCAGCATTCACTGGTTGCTGGGATCATCTCTGCTGTGTCTGTGTGAAGTAACACAGAGCACAGCATTAGGTCCTGCTCTAGCAAGTGCATTGGTAGGGATTGGTGCTTTTCTCACAGCATTCCCTTTGGGGCTCTGGATGCTACAGAATCCCACACCGATTCAGGATTTCTAATCACTAGCATGGAAAAAAAATTAATACAAAAGCCTTGATTTTGTTCTCTATGGTTTGAYGTTGTAATTTTGGTATGAAAGTAAGTGTCAAATGTTTGTGGGTTTTTTTAAACATACAGTTTTTCTAAGTATTGTGGTAGTGAGCTATAGGAGTACTGCTAATATTTTACTGATTTATCAGCTGCCACTCCATCTCTTTATATTGCATTTGTAATGATGTAATTTGTTCTCTCCCCACATGCAGTTCCTACAATGTATTACAATGGCAAGAATTTTAAAGAATGTATTAAAAAACCAACCCCCAACCCAAAATCTAGGATATGGCCAGAATTGTAGCATTCAGCCAGCCCTAAAAAGAGGATTTAGAATGCCTGAATACTCTGCTGATGTGATATGTGTATTGGAGTTTGATTAAGCTGGATATGAAAATTAAAACTTGGTTCCACATTGAAGAGAGAATCCCCTGCAGTGCGATACTATGGCAGCAAGTTTCTTGTTTACCCCTAAGGCTGGTGCTGCTATGACTTCCAGGTTTGATGGTGTCTCTTYTTTAAGTTGTTGAGCAGCAGGCTAATGGCTGCACCGCATGATGCAAGCACAGTAGAAAGCAGGGAAATCAGATGTGAATATATTCCCCAGAGATCTCCTGCTAAGATGGAGCTAACTAACCAGAGCTTTAGTGCTCAGAYGTAGTTTTCTCATGCAGAGGATGGACTGATTATCCGCTCTTTCTGCCTTCCTGTACATTTTTGGATTACAGATGCTATTAGAAATAATGAATTCTGGTACAATATGCATTCTAGTATAATATGTGCTATTTTATTGAAARGAAAATTATTGTTAAAGAGTGTCTGTCCAAGATCATTGTCCATCRTCACTCCCCCATATTGTCCAAAATTGCCTTGGCATTTTACACTATATAGGTTTATATTCATCCTCTGTGCTCACTTTGTTTAAAAATGGTAGCTGTAGTTTATTTCACCAGGACAAAGACTGACCTTAGAAAGGGACAGGATCTCTGGGCAAAGCAGCAAYTGGACTTGCTGCTTACACAAGTCTGCTCTCTGTGTCACACAACAGGATTCCATTGCTGTGGGTAGTTATTTCATTTTTGCCATAGTGGAAGYCTCAGATGCCACAAGGTATAGAGGGGAGAGGGCACACTGTCCTTATGGGCCTTCTTACATCCTTCTTGTATGATATTGGTGATATATGTGTTCTATAAAATGAAAGGAACTGCCAATCCATTTTTTTTGAGTGCAGGAAAGCTACAGTCAAGCACAAATTAATCATTTTAATGTTAACATGGGAGCTGGTATTGCTGCCCTATTCATTGATTCGAGGTCCTAGGCAGTTTAGGGTGCAGTGGGAACAGGGAGAACTTGCTGCAGTTCCCCAAAGGTGTTGGGTGAGAACATCTTGCTGTTTTCTCAGATATCCGTGGCCAGTCTTTGGTGGCATAAGGCAGTYTTTGTGGTTTCAGTCAAATCCTGAAGCTGTTTAATCCAAACAGGCAGAAGCATTGTTCTGGTAGGAAAAAAATCTTCATGAAATGGTGGTCAAGCATTGGAACAGGCTGCCCAGGAAGTGGTGGAATCACCATCCCTTGAAGAATTCAAAAAACCTGTAGATGTGATGCTTAGGGATATGGTTTAGTGTTGGTTTAATGGCTGGACTCAATGATCTTAGAGGTCTTTTCCAACCTTWAAGATTCTGTGATTATCTCCAGCCTTAATAAAGGAGTATTTGTRTGTTYACACACCGTATGCCAAGCACCMAGGCATACTTCACCATGATGAGAAYCAGTTTGTCTCAAACATAAAAAAGCAAACAATTGCTCTATTAGTTTTATAACTTGGAGAGGAATTATGTTTACAGACATGACCACCTTCAGGGAATGTGAAGATTTCTCCATGGAATTCAGACTTTTCGTAAAGTCCCAGTAAGATAAACTTTCAAACAGCCTTCAAGGCCACTCTAAATCTAACTCTTTTTTCCCCAGAGAGACAAGAACAATCTTCTCTGGACTCTACAGGAGCAGTAAGTAAAAATTACCTCATACAATGGCATGCAGATGCTATCAATCCACTCGAGCTGCAACCTGGGTAGTTCATGTTTCCTGTTCCGATCAAAAATGGCCTGAATTGAGAAGGGAGCAAAACTGTCATGCTTTATTACACTGGAGTATTTTACAGACATATCATCCAGCACTTTGCAGCTATGATCAAAGTCCCACAACCAGAAYACTTTGTAAGCCGTAATCAATCTTTGCAGCTGTCTTCCTACTGCTTTGCCTTGCATGAAAAATAAACTGTTTATTTTCAATTCTGTTTTGAAACTTTTAGGCTGAATGTGTTTGTGTTTATAATTCTGTGGTGTAAAATAAATGCTCCACAGTTCAAGTTGAGCTGGTAAGTAACCAACCTCCTGTAGGAATGTAAAGCAGATACATTTGTGCAGAATTTTCTCTTTTCTGACACAGGGTTTTCTAGCTCAGCAAAACAGTGATGGATCTGGGCTCGCTCTYTCTCTCCCAGTTACAGAGTCTTTCATCACTGTGAATCCAAAGGGCTGTAAATCAACAGATCTGTTTTGGGAACAGTTATCACTTTGTTCCTCTGGAATCAGCCTAATTCACTGCTCACTGTGAGCGAGAGGGCACCCTGTTACAGAAAAAATACTAAAGCTATTTATAGCAATACACTTCTTTCCTAYCTGTCTAGGCTGTTGGATGCAGATTTTCAGAACACATGGGCTCTGGCTTTTGTATTTCTCAGTAATTCTACCAAGCYTATAGTGCRTCCAAAATGTAGATGTAAWAACATATCTCAAAATAATTCTTGTGATTGCTGAACCTKGGCTATTTGCACTGGAATTCATTKCTACTTGAATACAGTAACATTAATRWGTGTATTGAAATAASACTAYTTCTTACTATRCTTCCTTAGTATGAGAAACATRCTTTGCAAATTTARTTTTTTATCTGCAAGGGTAGGAAAGGCACTTACAACCACTCTCTATGGAATGTTACTTGCAGTTCTTCAGGCATATGCTCTTGGAATTATGAATATCATGGCTGTCTGATTACTCTTCTCCTGCACTATAGTTACCCCTTTTTCTGAGACGTATGTACAGGACTGCTACAGGGAAGAAATCCATTGGTGTCCCAATCTCTGACAGTATACAAAGTGAAAAGCCATTCATTATAGTTGAGCATTGTTTACTATGAACTTTCAAGCTTTATTGACTTCACTACATCACCACATGATTACATGTGAGTATTAATGTAGTGAGCACAAGTCTGAGCCTCTGGACTGGCCTTTTCATATTTGGAAGTATATCATTTTGGAAGCATATTTGTGAATGGCCTGTAAGTTTAATTCTTTAAAATACATTCAGTTACCCTTCTCCTGTTGCCTCCAGTTAATGGCTTCTCAACATTTTGAGTTGTTTAACCTGGATAAGGCTTTCTCTTCTAACTGTTTAGTGAAAACATTTATGAAACTCGCTTAGTTATTGACACTTTGTACACATCTGCCTATATTCCACTTAATTCTGAGTTATTCCTACAACCACAGTACTATATATTTAGTTGTATACTTATAGAAATGCATTTCAGCATTTGATTCATCAAATAACACAGATATACAACCACAACTTAAAGTAAATCTGACAACTGATTTCCATAGGGAGCTGTGATTTTTTTAGCTCAATTYTGTGTATTAAAACCAACACCTGCTGCTTAGAAAAGTCACTGATAGGATACAGAAAACAAGTAAAAGGGCTCCATGCAGAAATGACGGTTGAGTGGAGAGCTTTTATATATGGTTATAAATGCATATCCTTATTAGACAGAGCTTTTATTTATTCTAAGATTTTTCTGTACCTACAAAATACCGTTCATTTTTCTGAATGAGCCCAATGATATTTTCTTAATCTATTCAAGTTAGTAACTACTTCAGAAGTGATAAAAACTTACTGAAGGGGTGAGTTTGAGTTCAGATCTTTCTCTGTCTCCTTGTTCAAAGAATTCGCTGGTTACCAGCTCAGCTGCCTAAAATAAAAACCATGATAAAGATTAGAGTTCTTGTTACATGATTTTTAGGATAATTAATTTTTGCTCAGACCATGACTTCAGCTTGTGCTTAACTGTAAGGAAGTGTATAATCTCACTTACATGACTGCTGTCAGGCATGTATTCATGTAGTTTTTGGAGCTGGGCATTTAGGGGGTATAAACAGCCATAGTCACTGACAGGCACAGGGACTTATCCCTTTTTGACAGGGAATCGACTTGACTGCAATGCCAAGGTAGCACCCARTGCAGTTATAAGCAACTTACTCAACTGAGACCAAAATAGAAAATTACAACTTCTTGCTGGTCTCCACCTTTATGTCTGTAAAAATGCTTGGTAAAACATGCAAGTGCTCTCTGGTTATTTTCAGGCTGTTGCCCTATAACAACTGCCCTTATCAAAGAAACTTAATTACCCAATACCCTCTGTTGTTTTAACCTAATGTGAATTCATAAAGGGTTTTTTCCCCCCACTAGGCTTTACTTTTTTTCCTTGTGACTGTCATCCCTATAGGATCTGGATATCTAAGTATGAACTCAGATTGTGATGATCATCTTGATTTAAAATCAAGAAGTGGTGGGTTGGAAGTTAGAATGCATCTTCCTTACTTTTGTGAATTAAGATGTTCTATTCAATGCAGGGGTTTGTGCTTCTCAGAAGAAGACAAGAYTTGAAAATAAATGTAGTTATGAAAACCAGAGGGATTGTAGTAAGCAATTCTGATATAGTACCGTACTCTGGTCATGTGTGAGGCTTTGAAGGTAAGCACATGCAGCATTTGGAGATGCAAAAAAACTGGAAGCCARTCTACTGAAGATGCATTCACATCCCAAAACTCCTGTCATGCCAGCATATTGTTTTTAAGCTAGGAAAATATTTCATAATGTCAAGGCACAAGAGGGTAAACTAAGCAGAGAGCCTGCTCTTCATAAAATCTCACAATTTCTTGCTCTAGCAACTGCATGATAGCTAACATTCACAAATGCTAAGCTTGTTATAATTGCAAAAAGGAGTATCAAAATAATTTGGAAGTAGGTGATGTGATGTTAAGAGTAAATCTTAAGACAAGCTATCACAGTTTGAAACTTTATAATGTATGTAACCCAGTGCATTAATAAAATTCTGGATCAATATTCCAGATAGAGGAATAATTTAACAACTTAGCAGCRATTAAGGGTTTGCCAAGTGTATTATATAATAATGATCAAGACATATTATCATTCYTGTCTCTCAGTGCTATTCTGATCCTGTTCTCCTTATGTCCCTTTCTCTCCACTTTTATCTGTTTCAATCTTCTCTTCCTGCATTTTACCTTCTTCCTTTTTTTTCAAATAGATTGCTTTTTCTTGTGGCACAGTTGAGGTTCAACTATTTCCTGTTTTGCCTCTGTGGACTCATTAGCACTTCTGCTCAAGCAGGTAATGTTTCAATGAATCCCAGACTGGATTTTTTAATGTAAACCTGTATACTAAGCTGCAGGGGAATTTTCACCTGTAGACATCAAATGTAATAAACATAAACCCCCCCCCTAGTCTGCCAGAGACTCCAGCACTAATTCAGCAGCATAGCACAAAGATTCTCAACAAGGAAAGCAGACCCTACCTGAAATCTGTCTGTCAATGAAAATGCAGAAGCTAACTGGATTAAAGAGGAAAACTGATGAAGGATTGTACTGAAAAATCTTATTACTCAATTTCCCACTGCAGGATGGATAGAAACAACTTTCCTGGTTTCTATGTGAGGTAACCATATTCTGGCCAAGTAGAGCAACAACATTAGAAGAACTATTGTCACAGTCTGCTTATAAAGCAAAAAAGTCCCGTTTGGCAAAACCAAAAGTTGAGGTGAAACCCTCCACCAATAATTTTTTTTTTTTTTACTTTTAATTCAGCTGATGTGCATGTAACTTTCATAGATCCCTTTCAGCTTCTGTTACTTTCTTCTCCTTGTCCAAGGAATCTGGCTGCTCTTGCATCGCTAGTTATCTGGCCTAGCTTTTTCTTTCACCCCATTTTATACCTATTACTTGCTGTTACACCAAATTTTCTCCAGGTGTGCACCCAAACACAGGTGTGCTGGTATATTTTCAATTTGCTTCTTGATGCTGTCTACACCTACAAAATCTGACACTGTCTTCTTCTGGCTTGTTTGGGCCTCAGTGAAGGACAGAGAATGAATAGCATGCATACTGGAAGTATTAAGGACGGTTTTGGGTAGAGAAGGATGTCTAGAAGAGGGAAAATCATGGGGCAAAGCACAAGAGTTTTGGGACAGATACCTTTCTCATACTGCACCTGTTTGCCAATTCTGGACCCATTTTTATGTATATTTCTAAAGAGCACAGTCAGCAGCAGAACCCTTATTTTTTATTTGTTGGTTTGTAAGTACTGGTTGTTAAAGGAAGCCCTGTACTACACTTGCAGTTTTGCAACGTTCTTAAAAAATGAACACATTTCTTTTATCCTGTATACTGAAAAAATTATACTAATGAAAGTTTGCATATAAGCTGTTTGTATTTTTGATTTAGGGAAGATTCTGCCCCTGCCAAGGAAATCTGGGATAAAACAAGTAAATACAGCTACATGTGGCCAAATGCCTTTTTTTTTGTTTCATTCATTCATTTTTGAATATAGATTTAAAAGGCTAGTACGAGGAGAGATTGTAAAGCCAGATGTACATACCAGTATGTGTAGAGGGAAAGATTATGCAATAAACCATTTTTGCAGAAACCTCCTGCTATTTTTTTATAGCATTAATACCGCTGTAAATTGATTCTAGTTTTGGTCTCTTGTAAGGCAGGGCCCTGGGAATGTTGTCCCGCCAGTCCCGCCTCCTCCCAGCCCTGCTATTAATCATGACTTGCCTGTCTTGAAATCTCCCACGGTTTGGTCACAGCTCCAAGGTCACAGGCTGTCATTAGCATTGATCTGAAAAACAGAAATGAACAATACAAGCTGAATCAACCTTTGTTGAATTTCTAAACAACTCTGCTCTGGATGCATAAATAAATAATACATATATAAAATGTCAGCCCCGGCACCTTCTTTTCCTCCAGAAAAGAATGACATGTTTGAAATCTTAGCCATCAGCATGGCTTTTACACTGCAATTGTGCCTTGGAAACCTAATGTGTTGCAGGTCATAAGATGATGAATTTTGGTATTGTGCATTGCACACCAGAAAAGAAATGATATTGCAAGGGAGTAACTGCTAATTTTGCAATACTTCTAACACTACTTACATTAATACCTATAATATATTAGAAAGCATGTGCTTCACATGATATAAGTAAGGGTATTATTACATAATAACACCTGCAACTGGATTAATTTATATGCCTATTTGTAAGTGACTGCTGTAGCAAGAGAGSCTATAATCACAGCAGGCATCCCATACACTGTTTAAGCAGTTTCTACTGCTCATCTACAATAAAAATTGAAGATTTACTATGCGCTATACGGTTCCACTGTAGTTTAATACCTAGCTACAACCATGTTTTATATGCATTAGGAGAAAGAAACCATTCAGCTGTAGAAAGTGTTTATGTACAGTACATGATGCAGATAAAAGTCTAAGAAAGTTTAAATGAAGAACAAGGGCACTGAAAATGAAGCATCAAATATATTGCTTGAATCTAAAATTAGGAATGGGTGAAATGACATGGAAAATAGAAAATGGCCAATATTTTGTCAAAAGACCAGAAGATAACAGAATTTTAATGAATTTTCCGATAAAATGAGACATAATCAGGCATGCATATGCAAATACACACATTTCATTGTCTAAAAAGTGTGATCTACTCAAACCACCCACAAAGTCTGAGATTTTCAATAGGATGCATGCTCAGGGCATTCTTGAGAGCTGGAACAGTACTCTGTATGTGAAAATTCCCAGGTACAGACTGGAAGGGCAGAGAAGTGCATTGCCAGTGAGAAAAGACAGCTGAGAGGAAGAAGGAATGGGGAAACAGACAGGAAAGATCTTTGTGTACAGAGGTAGAATACTGATACTTTCTGGAAAAAGAGCAGAAGGGCTGGACAGAAACTGGTGAGGCTGGGAGAAAGATGAGAAAACATGACAGTGTGTAGTAGAAATGGAAATGGAGAAGGTGAAGTCATGTTGATTAATCCCAGCTGCTTGCTAATGTTTAAAAATCATACCATATATTTCATATCATGGATTGTATTTTTAAAACAAGATACTTTCTCTTGTTATTCTAAGCCTTCAGTCTCCACATGAAATTCCTACAACAAACATGGCTACACTTTGAAATAACCAGAAAGCAAGAAACAGCACTGCTTACCGAAATATTTCTCGGTGGCTTTTTATGTTCCAATCATAACCACCTTTACTGACAAGTTCAAAAAACTCGGTCCTTCTCCTGCAAAAAAMCAGGTTGTCAGAGACGGAAACATGACACTTCCAGGGCAGCACTGCAGCAGAAACACGGCTCTCTGTGTGATACAGAATCACTGCACCTCATGTATTATTGTTAAAGTCGTTACACTGACAGTCCATTTAAGCGAAACATACTAATTTCCGAACATGTTCTATAAATGTCTGTTATCAATGTCAGAGTTGCCTAGTAAAAGCAATATTGGATTTATGGTCTCCACAGATAAGGAAATTAATGGCTCTGAGGTGTTCAGTGTTCCATGAAAGCATGAAATGTTCAACTACAGCAGTGGACAGACAGACAATAGGAACACCCCAGAAATACACACACGCTTCTTGTCCTTGCAAAATGGTTTTTACTTCTATATCCTGAAGGGTTTTTCAGTTATTTCCAGCACACAGAAAGAAACAGTGACACACTGGAGCTGCTGCTGTCTTGAGTTCATAGCTCTTATAGACTGGAAACTAGGTCTCCCTGCTTGGTCCCACTGTTTGTCTTCTAGAGTATCTTCTCTTTGTCCCCAAACAGGGACAAAACGTGAGATGAACAGAACATGTTAATACTTGATTACTGTCTTTAAGAATTAAAAATTCTGCCTCTTCATAGCCTATAATCTTTTATGGCACTGAGACTCCAAACAACTCTTTCTTCTTGCATTGTCACTGCAATATGTAATAAATCCTGCCAAAGATRTAGCAGAAGTTGAGGTACAAACACTTGGAGCAACTTGCCCCYAGTGACACAACATATGAGTATCAAAGCTGGAAAGCAAACAAATGCCTATGTCCTGAGTGACAGTGCTCCATCTCATATAGTTAGGGTAGCTTGCTTTCCTTTGTATAACAAATCCATTTGCTCTAAAGCCCCATGGCCTAAGATATCATTTAAGTGAATTTCCATAAACTTCATTTTGGTTTCAYGCTTTTACTTGTTGTTTTATCTACAAATGTAATTATCTAGAATTATCTGCTAAAATCAAATATATTTTCCATCTGATCTTTCACTGAAAGYCATRTTTTTGTTTGTTTGTTTGTTTGTGTAAAAGTAATGTCTTGAGAACGTCATAAAGCCTTGCTCTGCCTGGARTTTTGTTGTTGTTTTGCTACCTGGATCATTAGGTTTAGTCATTCTAAGAGTACTGATATGAGAATGCCCTCTCTACAAAAATACTGAAAACCTAGCAAACTGAAAAAACAAATTAGGTACTTGTGTAGAAACACCTGCTCACATAGAGTGCTTGAGCAAGTGTAAACCACCAATGTTTCCAGAGACTGATTTTCAGGCACTTGTGGAAATAAAGTAGCATTGCTACTACCTTTCTAATGAATCCTAAGAAGAAAAAATAACTTATCTGCAGACTTAAGAGGCCTCATTTGATAAAAGTCTTCTGATTCATGAACCACAAAAAATTAACTTTGCAAGTAAGAAAAACTAATCTTGAAATTCAGTTGTGTCCCTTTTGTACGTATTTCTCTCTATTAAAGCTAGAAAAAACAACTTGACCCCATAGTTTTTCAACTTAAGGCAGGCAGGGCAGGGAGCTCCATCAAATCTGAGTGTGAACAGGGTTCCATCCCAGGCACTGCCATGAGCCCTCTCTGGCTCTTCCAGGGGCTCCAGGATCTCAGCCAGGGGGAGCACATGGAGCTGTGCCAGGGCAGCTGTCCTCTCAGCGCCTATCACTCATCTCTTCTTGACAGCAAAAAACCTTCTTGCAGCATTTATTTGTGATAAGACAGGAGGAGCCATGGTCCTTGTATCTCACAGAATCRAGAGAAGAGCCCTTCAAGATCATCAAGTCCAACCCAGCACCACCATAATCAACCCTAAACCATGTCCCTCCTAAGAGCCATATCAACACCTCTTTAATTAGTTTCCGGAGATGGTGAGTCCACCGTCTCCCTGGACAATTTATTCCAATGTCTAATCCCTCTTTCAGTGATTTTTTTTTTCCTCTGTTATCTAAGCTGAACTTCTCCAGTGCTACTCTAATTCTTTCACTTGAGACATGGCAGAAAGACAGACCCTCATCTCACTACAACCTCATTTCAGGAAGTTGTAAAGAATAAGGTCACCTGAGCCTCCTATTCTCCAGACTAAGCACYCTCAGCTCCCTCAGCTGCYCRTTCCTCACAGGACATGTTTTCCATACACWTCCCCAGCTCTGTTGCCCTGTTCTGGTCAKGCTCCAGCACTTCAATGTCCTTCTTGTAGTGAAGTCCCCAGAACTGAACATCTGATTCAAGGTGAAGCCTCATCAGTGCTGAGCACAGGGGGACWATCCCTGCCCTGGTCCCTCTGACCACACTTTGCTGATACAGGCCAGGATGCCATTGGTTTTCCTGGCCATTGGCTTTCTTGCTGGCTCATGTTCAGCTGCTGTTGACCAGGGCTCCAGGTCCCTTTCTGCTGGGCYGRGCAGCTTTCCAGACACTCTGCCCCAACCTGTGGGTGCTGCCTGAGGCTGTTGTGACCCAAGTGCAGGACTCAGCCCTTCGCCTCACTGAATCTCTCATGCAGGTGTCCTCAGTCCATCACTTAAGCCCATTTCACTTGAAGCTGTCAGCAAACAGTCACGTCATACCAGCTGCCCAGATAACAAGCAATCCTCACAGACAGCTTGAAACAAGAGATGCTTAAAATGGTTTATTTATCCTGCTCAAGATATTCATGTCAGCAATCAGAAATTTCTTTGTACACTAATGTTTAGAAATTATTTATAATAAAATTTCTTGCTAAAATCCTTTCCTAAGAACACTTCCCTGTGAATAGACTTGCAGGAAACAAASAGTGCCAGTGTGTCTACTGCCAGTACTGTTTAGGAACAGCCCTTGGCATGGGAACCAAATACTGAGAAACAAAGCAAACATTGCAGCATCCCAATTAGTATTTTACAGTTAACAGTTACATATACAAAGTTGATATAGATATCAATTTCAGATATAGAACAATTTCAGGATAAAGACTGCCTGAAGTTTTCTTGAAACTTGGTTTGGGATCAGCTACCAGCACATAACAGGGGCAGAATCCAGGTATACCACCCCAAGAAAAACATGACTAAATAACAACCAGCACTGTATGGGATAGGATGCTAATGGACAGCAAAAAAAATTCCTAAGGATGACTTATTGTCAAGACTGGGAAAGCAATGCACTGAAACTGCACATCTGCCAGCACCTCTCCCCCTAAGTCAGCTGCAGGCATGTGCCAGATGTCAGAAGTGCAGTGTGATGGTGACACGACTTCTCGGACTACATGCATCCTCCCACACACCCTCACTGAGAAGAGCTTCGTAATAATTAACAATATTTGAAAAACTGGAAGCAGCACCAACTTGAAATCTATTTTGAGATTTGATTTGCCAACAAGGAAAAGGAAGAAAACTGGGTGACAGAGATCCTGTTGCATTTCTCCCCAGTTAAGCTTTTTAAGACCTATTCTTATCATGTGATGTGCATTAGCATGATTTGTCTTCAAAGCAACAAAAGTGCCTGCTTTTTTACCTCTGCAACTGGGTCTGTAACTAAATACAATATTTCTTAGCATACATGTTTAGAAATGCTGAAATGGTGGAAAAGAATTCTCAAATGTCATTGATTTTCTATATACCTCAAGAAATGATTGCAGAAGGGAGAGAAAAATTATGGGATTTAGCGTAACTGGTTCCTGAGATTGCTTTGAAGCATGAGCCTAGGATTTCACTTGCTTTTGGTTGATACAGTCATGTTACATATTAAAGCAAAACTTACTTGGACACTTGAGATATTTCTACTAGACTAAAAGATACTAAGTATTAGACTAAACCTTTTCAACCATAGCTAAACACTAATTTCCCATATTATATATCCTTATTGGTATTTAATAGGTCATTAGAGTAAGTACTCTGAATTTTCATTCATCAAATACAAGAAATGCCAATACTTACTCAAAATACAGAGTGAGGTCTGTTGCCAATATYGATTGCTTTAGAAGCTGCATAAGGTCACTGTAGTCCTTAGAGGACAAGTTAGCAAAGATGTTGTGACCCTGTAATGAAAGAGATAAAAGAGGTAAAGGACTAACAATCAATACAGGTTTTTGAAAGGCTTTCTAACTCATTAGTCTACTGTTTCCCTGTAACACAGCCTTTTCTGATTCATGGCAAAACTACGACAAAATAGTAATGTTAATACTGCTGAGATTACATTGAGATASAAGTGCTGATGATTGTTATCAAGCACCTGTATGTTTTTCTAAACTCTGCTGAAATTATAGCCTCTCGAGTAAAGATTTACTCTCTGCTCTGACCCTGCACAGACTCAGTTTATGGGGGAAAACTGTGGATACATCTCAATCTCTCTTACTAAATGTTTTAGGGAGCTGTGTATCGGAGCTTTTGAATTGTGATCCTAATAGATTTATCTGTGCTGCTGCTTGCAGGCACACAAACTGCTGTTAGAGCAGTCAAGGACACTAAATCAGTTTTTCATTCAAAACAGCCCATTTGATCACTCTGCCCATTACTGCCTTGTCTTACAGAGTATACAATCATTGTCTATGTAGGCTAAACTGCAACTTTATATGCAGTTTAAACACCCTTTGTGGGCCCAACTGGCTGCTTTTTAAGGGATCATGAATTAAGAATTCGAAAGATGCTCTATGGCCAGAATGAAAGCAGATTAACTATTTGATGTTGCTATTCAAGAGGGGTAAAGTTCTTTTGTAACTGAATTTCTGAAAACAAGAAGAGGGACAGAGATCCTATAATTCCTCTGTRAAATTCTCGAGAAAATAAGATGAAAGAAACAAAATCAATGAAAAATTCTAAATGTAACCTTAAGAAATTATCTTTATGACAACAGTCACATATATTAACATGCATAGAAGTATTACAGGTCTTTTTTTCCTAATCACCTATATAAATATTGAAGTTCTTTCTAAACAGAGTCTCATTTTGGTGATATTTAGTCCTGTAGCACCCACATTCAGTATGCACTGCCATCTACTGCTTAGGAAGATTAAAATGCCCTTAAACCCAAGAATTTTCCAGCAACAGGGTTACTATAACCATGATGGCATAAGGACATATATGAGATAAGGTCTGGGGAGGTGGCATTTTTTAATAGAGAAGCTAATTGTTGGACTAAAAAAATAATTTGCCATRTATAAAATTATTTTTAGGCAGGTATTGAGTAAAGCTAATCTATGAAAAACAAACAATGAAAACCAAGGTAATCAGAAGAAAACAGGAGTTCTTGCAACAGGGCTAATATACCAAGAGGTCTGTTACTCCRTAATTTCTACTGCCTTTCTGACTTGTTTCATGAGATATAAAACCATGTCACCACAAAGCCCAAGAACACTTATATTGAGGTTAGCATGTCAAGAGTAAAGGATAAATAGGCCCTTAGYCCAACATGCTAAATATCTGAATAAATGATACAACATCTTATGTTTCCACCTAGACAGCAAAAACAGACTAGAATATTTCAGCTTGTTTGAGAGAGACCAAATTCTCAGCTGCTAACAGACAGTGTATCTTTAAGTAGATTGAAGGTTCCAAATCTGCATTTATTCCAAACTAAGCGTGTTGTGTTCCATTAGCAAATTCTATGTGTCGGATAAAAATTCCATAGCACAAATTTTCTGGTCTAGACATGAGGACCTAGAGAAGAAGCTGTCTGAATGATCTCAGATGAGGACTTGCATTTCAAGTAATATTTTACATCTCTGAAAAAAGCTGGAGTAAAGTGCAAATGATATTTTTCATAAATTTCTTGATTTTTAAGCTGAAAAAGATAAAGAAAAGCATCTAGACTGACATGATCTATGAATTTTTACAGAGTTTTCCATATCTTGAGCCTGAGACATTCAGTTATCATGATTTCAGGAACTAGAAAACTCTCCGTTTCCCAGAAAAGCTTCTTCCAGAGGCTGAACAGTGTTACTAGTTTAGGGGAAAAAAACAAAAAAAAYCCATCACCCAAACCCCTTTCTTCCTATTCTGAACCATTCATATGTTGCTTTTTTGTACACCTTTCCCTGGCAGTATGAGAAGCCATTTAATTCCTAGTATCCCCATTTAGATCAGCTAGCCTAGGCTAAACAGATTGAGCTGTTTACATCTCATGCCGGTGCTCTCCTTTTCTATGACTACTTTTAAAATATAACATCAAACTGAACACTAAAGGTGCAGTTCCATGACAAGTCTCCCTGGCAGTGTACACAGAGTGTAAAGCCGTCACCCTGTTCCCATTTGTCTGGGATCACGAGACAYTCCCAGATCTCTTCAGAAGGTACTGCAGGTCAGCCTATGGTCTCCAACTGTGCTGCATGAACAGCAATTTTGGTTTTTTATTTTCTGAATGCATTTTGTAGCAACCAATCTGTGTAAACTAAGAAAACACATCCATTTAGGATGTGTTTAGGATTTCGTCCTTTTGAAAGGACTTCATATCCATCGTTCCACTTCTCTCAGTTATTAAATACGTGCAGTATATGCTCTATACTGTTATATGCAAGATCCTTCAGGCAAGAGCTATGCCTTCATAAGTATCTGCAAAGCAATTAATGTGCTTTGGTAATATCAGTGTGATATTACTGACTTTATTTTTTTAAAAATAGTTTATTAAAATAATAAAAAAAACATAAAAATACTGATCACAAAAAGGCTGCCAAAGAAATTAAATTGGTGCAGTAAAGGATGACTGATACTCTGAATATAACACCTGTGGGACAGGTAAGCACCTGTTTCAGCTACCTATAAACCACTGAGCAGGATATATGTTAGAMGACTCAGAAAATCCAACAATATGATTTGGATTCTCCTTGCCCCTCACCAATTGAGACAAATATAATCTSTGGGCCCTATGATCAGCATTTGTAGTTATTTAATTTGGTGCTAGTTGTGACCTTTGTGGTTACCARTAAATAATTCCTCAAGGAGAGGGCATTAAAAAGGCACCCTATGTGGTATTTCCTTTCTCCAGGTGAAACTGCCCACCAGCTTACACTGAGATTAATTGTGATACTTTTGTACCTCACTTTGGAGAATCATGACAGCATGATTGAAATGGTGGTGCTCCAAGGTAGCAGAGGTGCCGTAGAGCTGAGCTAAGGCTGATCCACTCCTGAAACAGAACATCGGAAGTCAACAAATCCTGCTTGTCTGCTTACAAAGCAGATTTCAGAAACAATTCAGTAACAAAAACACATAGCCACACTCTCTACCTCTACTTCAGCAACCACACTTAAGACAGTTTAGGAGATCAAAATACTAATTTAAATCCAGACATAAAGCATTTATGTTCCAGACTGCTAAATATTGTCAGCTGACTGAAGATTTTTCTGGAACTACAAGAAATGTTGTAATGCAGCTTTCAAGGTACCTCAGCAACAGCACAGGCACAGCACTGCTCAGTAAAGACACACTGTAAAGTACTTGAGCTGGGATTGGCTGTTCCCTCATACTTTGATTTTTAATTCTTAATAGACATAARCATGAAGGCTTACAATAGGCAGCTACAAACTCTTGAAATAAAACCCCAAAACACAACAACAAAAAACCCAAGTGCAAATACTAAGATAAACAAAAAACGAGTGAGAGCACCGAATATAAAAGTAAAGCTTTGCATATCTCTAGAATGTATTTTCTCATCACATTTMTTGATAAACCAAAATCAGATTCAAAACACACAGAGCAGGTGGGTTTTCTAAGTTTAAAGGACAAAAATATAGAGAACACAATTACAAAATTGAAAATTGCTGGAAAGGGCAAAGAATGGGACTGATTGTCAAAATAGTCACTGCTCACCAAGTACTAAAGTACTTCAGGCAAAATACTTCACTTCTGGGACCCAGCTTAAAGTGACAAGATGGGTTTTCTTTCCAAAGAAATGAGAATAGGAGATTATGCTAGAGACAGAAGGAGTCTCCTAGGAGCATATACCATAAAACTGCACCATACTGATACTTAATTATCAGAAGCAGCTATATGAGAGAAAAGGATGTCCAGGAAACATCATCCCTAGAGAATGTGATGTTGACATATATAACAGGGCCACTTGAGACAACTGTGATATTGCTTCTATCATGTACCTCTTGAATTTTCATCATACACAACAGCAGTATTGAAAAATAGGAAAAAATAAAATAGGAAAATGTGATTGTTAAATTTATGTCAGGTTAGAGGAATAAATCATACTTAGTGTTATGAAAACTACAGCTTCTGTTTTCAGGCATGTTTTATACATGTGTGGTAATGTTTGTCTTTCATTAAATGTCTTCAGCATTTTCTTTATGGAGTCATAAAATGGTAGCCTCCTCTCCATACTCTGTTGTCAAACAACAAGTATAAGTGATAGCAGTCTAATGCTGAACCTTATACCTTTAACTCAGCCATCCGTCTGCACACGAGATATTCTTGTGTGGTGGTACAGCAGAGAAGTGGTTAACTTAATCAGAGCCTAACACAGCCAGGATGTAAATCTTAGGTCTCATTTTGTAAATTAGGAACATAAACATCAATCAGCTGAGCTTCCTTCCCATTTGTCTCGTCTACTTTGATTCTCTTCAAGACTCAGCTGCAAAAAGGCATCTAGCAGTGCTTGGTAACCTTTGCACCACAAGCTCTGTCTTTTGTGCACTGCAATTGATTTTCCCTGTTGTGGTGATTGAAGGTCCAGACAGTGTCATTGTTTCATTGAGATTGTATGGCAACACCAATACCTCAGGAAATGGCAGCTTAGTGAACATCAGAAACATCAGTTTGAGTGATGGTCACTGAGGGAATTTTTCCCCAAAAATGCAGCAGCCTGTACATACACACATTGCAGCAGAGTATTTCTGCAAAAGGTGGGACAAAATAGGCTAATGCAGCATCACTGCCTTTCGAGTATCTTTGGACAGCCATTTGAAGGCAGCCCCATCACACTGAAAGATTAGCAGTAAGGCAGAACAGAAAAAGCTGAAAACGCACACTGGGATCTGCAGGACAGGAGAGCCTTGGGGCCTCTTGTTCTGACTGTAGAGGAGTGAAGAAAACAACGTGTGATTTGAAGGAGTCTCTGTGTCTGGCAACTTTATATCACAGCTTGGCCCGGATTTTGCTGGGGACATTTTCTGTTGTCCCTTCTGTTCTCAGGGAACACAGATTCTGGAAWGCATTTGACCTTAGACAAAGGAGTTCCCTTACCTACACAGTAAGAAAGACCTAAACCTTCTACATTCCTGTTTCAACCTCACTGTGCCTGAGGAAGCAGCATGGTTTTTGTGAAAGCATTATCACAGTTTTACTAATTTCTTTTTTTTTTTCTAGAAGTAGAACAAGGTTTTGCTTAATGTCATGCACTCCAGCCAGCAAGAACAACTCAGACAGACAGTTTAGGTCCTTCCTGGGCTGAAAACCAGAATCAATAATAGCTGAGCCTGAAAAGAACATCAGGTTTTGCCACCACATTTCAATATGTGGTGTCAGTTCAACAGCCAGCTACAAAGGACAAGCCAGCAATTACTTAAAGGAACAGAGGATGATAAAGATGGATAGTCCCTCACTGCACAYAGGAATAAGAGTACTTGGCCTTGGCCTAGAAAGCTTGAAATTAATGCTTCATTCTTTATCCTGGCCACCTTTTGCTCTCCTGTAGAAGAAAACCAAATTAAAATAGTAAGAATTAGAAAGCTTACTTGGCTTGGAAGGCATTGTTGGTTCCCCTGTGGTCAAGGTCGTGACATAAGCATCCCACAATCAAAGCTAAAATTTCAATTTCAGTTAGAATCTCCTGAAATCCTGCAGTCTGAGAGCAGAAAAAAAAATAGCAGCTGTAACTATCAGTAACAGAAGKGATAAGTAATGTTAGTCCATCGAGCAACAGTCAACTTTGTTTTGATACCATGAATGTTTCAGTAAGGAGAAGATAAATGCTTTTTTGTCATATTCTATTCCCTGCTGTATGTCAGATGGTTAGCAGAATACATAATGTCCTTGGAGTGATCTGTTACTATATCTTTGTTGCATTTCCAGCATGCCATTTCTCTGCTACCCGGAAGGCACTAAAGGMAAACAGAGCTGTAAACAAACACCAGTAACTGCAAACTAAGACAGGAACTGGATTTTTCTATTASAGAAATAAAAAACCTAAAACTAAACTGATTCCCTTTTGAACTTATTGCTCAGAGAAGTATTTAGAAAAGTTTCTTCAATCCTGAGATGATCATCTTAGTCAGTCCCTACTGTCAGAGATAGCTGACATGTTAAATCCGAAGAACTTTAAAAGAACCCAGATAAAAATATACTCATGGAACTGTTGTGAACTRTTAGATTTTTCTAATCTGGGACAGTGAAATGAAGGGGCATGATTTAAGGCGGAAATGTCTCAAATGGCATATTTCTGCTGCAGATACTCCTTGAATTTGGGAGAGATGTTTGAAATGCAATGAAATTCCCTACAAGCAGCTCAGACATGACTGTGAATGAGGGAGTTAATCTAGAAACATTCATTTACCACTATGCTTCTCCTCATGGACACTTGTCATAGCAATGTTCCTGGCTGAACGGGCTCATGCCAGAAAAGAAACACTTCCTGTTATTGCTGACCTCAAGCATCCTGAGCAGATCCTGTCTGGAGGAGGTGTTGGAGCGTCTGYGGGACACCACGTCACTGGTGCTGTGCAGAAGGGCATAATGCCTGCAAAAACTACTGCCTGAGCTGGAAAATCATTACATTTRTCTTTTCACTGTGCCAGTCTCCAACACCACTCCTCAATTAGCCACATCATCTAGTTAGCATGAAAGGAAATGATATACAAGAAATACAAAATACATTTGTATTGGAGGACCAAACCAAGACTGAACACTCAGGCCATGTAAGAATTCTCAAATTTCACTGATTTTCAATGGGGCATCATTTCACCCACTAGCAAGAAGATGGTTTAAGTGACACACTGGGACTTGTTGCCTCTCCTGGGCAGGAACTTAGAGGCCCCTCAGAAATGCCAGTCAATTGCTGCAATACTCTGTGAAAACTCTGCTATTCACCCCGAAGRCYACAAACTCTACCTAAAGAATTGCAYATTCAAATSTAAGTAGCCTCTTTTTAGACTGTCTGAAATGTAGCCACAGTTAATACCTAGGCAGCACAGGGAGCCATGCTACCCCAGGTCCTCAGGAATGCACTTCAGTGGGAATTGGGGAAGTGGAAGATTTTCTACAAAAGCTTTATAATGGCTTAAAGCTTACACATCAGAAAAGATGATGAAGTATGAGGAGAAAACCATTAATTTTGTGTAGAATCCATTGGTGTACAGAATAATTTGAATATTAGGAAAGAGATTCACCTGAGTTCTAGTGGCATTGCTTTTTTTTTWGTTTCAGTAATATCTATTCAAGTAGAAAAAATCACCTAAAAATAGCATTCTCTCTTTTTTAACATAGCTTTTGTATAACAAATAATAATAAAGGTCGATTTATAAAAAGGGATTAAAAGTAGTTTGTAACTGACAACACACCACTTGTCAAGTTTCAATCTAGAGAAAATATTCATGGTTAAGTTAAAACAACTTAAAAAAGAAGTTTTATTACATAACATTGATGTTGTAATAAATATGCTTTAGTGCAACCCAAGCTTTGATTAAATTTAAGGATTCAACCTATATTGCAAATGCARGAAAGCAGATTAAGGAATTTATTAACAGTAGCAACATCTCAAAAATAAATGCCACATTTTCTTTAATGAAAAGTCTTGTCACTGAATATATGAAAGAAATACAGTGTATATCATATAGTAAAAAGCATTTTATTTAAAACAATGCTACAGTAGAGGGGATATCTTCTTTCAACATAATGCAAGTAAATAGAGGATTATATTTCCCCATTTTCTGAATTTAAAAGAGAAAAAAAAATACATGGCTATAGATGGTGATGCAGTACAATTTATTTTCACCAGAAAAGGAATGACCCATAACTCATGACTGGAAGAGTCTCCAGTGAGTTATGGAGGTCATTCTTTCATGTGAGGAAATGAATTGCATTCATTATACCTTGCCCCACATCCGTATGTTTTGTTATTAGCACACCAGATGGGATTTTAATTTGGCATTGCTTACTTGTTCATTTTTGCCCTTTGAAATAGGTATCAATGTGAACTGTGTTGGCAAAGGCATTGATAATGAAGCCTGGGCTTGATCCTGCACTTTACTCTTATGTGCTCYCTTAAGTTGCAGGAGCAGCCTTGCTGCAGTGCTTGGCTTCAGAATGTTTGGGCATCTGAAATACGGAACTATGGCTTGCAGAACTGGGCTTGTAATTGTTCAGGAAAGAGAAAATAGATACTTAGGTATATAGGAATGTGCTTCAGATATGCAAAAGGGGAAACAACTGGTTTACTCTTTGTTGGCTTGTTCAGTGCAGCTCAACTTGTGCATTCAGTGGGAGTGTGGTGGGGCCCTTAGAGGCTACTGAATTACAGGTTAGACATTACTATGCTATGGTAAATCCTATCTGAAAATGMCCTAAAACAGAATTATTGGTTTATATTTGTGGAGCAGTGCATATTGCTGACTCTCATGGAGAAATCAGAAATAAGGTGCAACAACTGCACAAAGCAGTGCCTTCTTGACCAGCAGACAAGGGCTTTGACAAGCCTTTCAAAGGGCTTGTCATAGAATTTTCCCCTTTTTACCAGCGAAAAAAGAACACACACACTAACTTGGATGGTACCCCCAAGACAAACGCAATAGAAGCAAGCCTTGTATTATTATTAGTCTCGTCTCCCTTTTGCGTCTTTTCTTTGCACAAAATGAATCTTCCCGTCCCTGGAAAGGAGAGCAGACCAAACAGATCACGCACCTGAACTTATTTAGTTCTCAGCCGCAGCCAGAGCAAAGCAGGGTGGGATGTGTGGCGAGTCCAATGCTGTGGCCACTGGCATCCAGCCCTGCACATGGARTTGCTCATTCTGTTTATTACCAGGAATGTGGGAAAGGAAATGAACTTGGCTTAAAAATGCCAGGTCACATCCCACAGACAGTTGCATCCCTGTGCTGACTGCTAAAAGGATTCTGAAATTACGTTAYGAGAACCACAGTGAAAGCAGCTGTCGGTGGAGCCCGGCAGGCTGCTGCTGGCTGCTAGAGCAGGGAGCTCTGCTTGCTCTCTGCTGGCCCCAATGCGGGCACCGCTAGCCGGGATGGGGATGCCTGGTCCCGCTGACAGAGCAGCGTGCCGCAAACCTGGCCTCGGAGCTCCACCTAGGGGTGTCACCGCTGGGGCTGGGCGCTCCCCACCCCGGCAGCCTCTGGCAGAAATTACTGTAATTCGCACCCAGCGGCGCTGCCTGCCTTTGCCCTTTGTCAGCAGAGTCAAATGCTCTTCGTTCTTCTAAAACTGAAAAAAAAAAGCATGTCAAGTTTATAAAACCTTAAAAACTACCAACATAGGCATTACCACCAAACTTCATTAGTGAGCATCAGCAAGTGCCTGCTGAAACAATRTTAATTCTGCTCAGTGGAGCAGCCTCATACCCAGAGGAAGAGGTGRCCATTCTCTCGTTGAACGTCTCCCTTCCCTTTGTCTCATGGTGTATGGTACCACTTCACTACACCTCTGTCAACACACAGAAACACACCCACCCTGCTGGGATGGACCAAGCAATAGAACAACATCTGCCTGCTAGGGGATGTCAGACTCTTCTTTTCTTGGCCAACATATGAAGTTCTGTCATCCAGGACCACTGAGATTTTTATTGGTACATTTACAAGAATTAACTAGCCAAACATGGGTCATTTCATGCAGTGAGGTTGCTGTGGGGTAGGCAGAGAGAGCAGTATACTTGTTCTMGTATGCTACTTCTGGTACTTTCGGCAGAATTTACTTGTATGCTGAAAGGAGCTACAGGTACTGCTGGAGATACATGTTAATAAAATCCCTAAGTGTTGACAGTGTTCAGTGGAGACTCAAAATTCACTTAGATCACTGTGCTGGAAGATAATATTCAAATGATTTGAGGCAATACCTTCTAAAACTATTTAGATGAAGCTGGATAAGGAGATAATAAATACCAACATATAAATACTTTAGGATTCTAATCTTCCTTGGTTTTGTACTTCCCAATTAGGAGTTTGAAATAAATGTCAAATCAAAGAGTTCCAACAGAAAAACATTTTGTGAGATCAAGATCTGTAATAACAAGTGCACTCCCAGACTGCCATCTGTTTTCAGTCACTTTAATGTGCCTATGATATCACTGTCACTAAAACACCRTAAGGTTTTGCCAAATATGTGCTGCCTTAAGTTGAGTAAGTTTTGTCTGCTTTGCTCTTGCAAATGAGTAACATAATAACTAGAAAAGAACTTGAATGCTGGAAAATGTTTAGACAGGTAAGGCAATGTGGTAGTAAAAGCTGTTACGGGATTGTGTAGCTGGATACTCACAGTTAACATGGCAAACATCAGCTGGCAGACGTTGAAAGCGTGCCTCCAGTTGTGATACAAAACCATCCGATAGTTCTTCCGCACCGTCAGAAGCCACCTACACAGTGTCTGAAATTAAGAGTACAATTTGTAGCAGGGCTACTAAATGTGTACAAATGGACAGAGCAGTGCCAAGACAAAAGCAGCCAGTATTTGCAGTGCAGATGGTTACCTCGTAGTCAATTTTAAATTTCTGAACCATTCCAAGTTCCATGAACATCCGCAGGGCTGCAGTAATCATGGCATCCACATCGAGTGAGAAGTCATCAAAATGGATATCATCAATGCCAAGCTCTGACACCAGTGGGATGCTTGCTGCCTGAAAATGCCAAAGAGAAATTTCTGATTCAAAACTTCAGTCTTTTTTTCTGTGTCACACTTACAAGAAACAAACCGTACATCAGTTCTGACCTGCCAATACATCCCCTGYTTGATTTGAATGCCGAGCAGTAAAAGTCTTCCTCTGAGAAATACTAACACGTCAAGCTAACTGAGTGTGGAAACAATGGGAAGGCGATGAAGCTGATATGAGCAGGAAATATGTTCACCATTCCAACTGCAGCCCAGATTCAGCATTTAGACTGAAAGCTGACCACTTTACAGCTACTGCAGTAACACAATATATTCCAATGCAAATCACAATGCTGTAATGCAAGAAACATCTGGATAGCCAGAAGCCGGGAGTTTTAATTGCTACCATTTAGAAATGCAAAGTAAATATATTGCTCTGCAGAATTTCTTCATCCAAATGTCTTCACAATCATAAGCATACAAGTGCCCTTTGCTTTATACTGTTCACCACACACACAGAACCAAAAGAAGAGGAATACAAGAAATGTCTTGTGGAAGTACTCCCCAAAGTAAAAGAACTTTCAACATGCTGATTACATAGTAAATCAATAAAACAAGAGCAAAAGCCTTACATTTTGCTTTGCCTATATATCAGGGACTTGTGTTTGTAAGAGAGAAATGAGCTTCTCATGCACACACAAATACAGGAATGTGTTCTGGACTGGCTAAYGTATTTAGTTGAGCAGCCAAATATGCTGTGGCTTGCTCAGTRGTAGCACCTGTGTGAGCCAGGTAGAGGTGCTGACAAACCTCCCAGGCTTCTTCGCCCTTCCTTAAGCCCCTTCAGACTTGCTGCTCATCTCTGTATAGAGGGCAGAGGGCAGGTGCAATGGGATGCATTCACTGAAGGAGCATCTGTCCTGTCTTTCACAGTGAGAAGGTGATAGGTCAAGCAGAAGCCTCATAAAGGGCTGGATTCCACAGGTTATGAGCTAGCCAATGCTGAATTAGTTAAAATCACATGGACTCAGCTGATGGGAACAGCCAGCTACACACTTGCATAAAATACCAATTAATTAATACAGCTGTATTGTAAGTGTTCACCTTCACTGTTGCCACTTCTGTGTGACCACCTTATGGTTTCCTTTTTGAAAACTTGTGTTTTGAAATACTGCACTCGAGTTACAAATCACTGACATGTAAAAAGCTTCTTCTGTCTGAAGAGAAAGTGTAACCTCAGTAATAACTTTATGCAGAGATTAAGCTGCTTTTGCTATATGTTAGCAAGCTATGTCTCTCCATGTAAGAGAAGATAGTGTAAGCCTATCAGAAAATAGCATTTACACCGTGGTTTTAACTTACTTACTAGCTAGAAGAAAAGTCTGTTCAGTTCAGGACCCAGCAAAGCACACGAGTACCTCACAAAGTGATGGTGCTATGCCAGAGAGTTTAACTTATRCAGCAAATACAACAAACCCATCAAGTCAAGAGTCATCCACGCCACAGCTGAAGAACCTCTGGAGTATGCAGGCAGAGATGCAAGTTCTGTTAACTGCACACCCAGCTGTCTGCTAACACACTTGTCCAGGTTGAATCAATGTAACATCTTTTTTTGAATCATCATTGAAATATTTGGAATGCGTCTAGATGATCCCAATAGGATTTACACCTTAACACCCTTTAAGATCTCAAAAAACATGTCTATGCTGCTGAGATAAAGAAAGAAAGAAAATATGGTTAGGTGTGAAGCAGGAATGCTGGCCCAGAGACTGCGCTGTCCAGACCCTCAGCAATCTTACAGAAATTGTGACTTTTTTATAATTCGTTTATTCTTCAGAGACTTGGGGGATACTGGAGATGCCCACTAATATTTAGTCTATGAATATACTCACTGGATAAAAATAAGACTCTCATTTTCTTTCTTTTTTGGGGAGAAATGCATTTGTACATCATGCTTCTTAGTTTCTTAGTGAAAAACTTAAATAATAAGCTGTAACAAAAGCACGCGACTGTGAGTAGACCTTCTTGAAACTGTTTTATCAAAATGATCTTTACAAAGCTACTGCTGCATTTTCATTAACTTTGGAGTGGGTCCTGACTAAAAACTTCCGAGTTTTTTGCCTTTTAAAGAAAACCAGACCTTTTCCTTGCTATTTCTTGCTGGAAACCAACACTTTTACCAGCCTGTTGCAATTCAAGGGAGAATACTTGAAGCAGTTGCTCAACTAAAATTGTTTTTCCATTTGCCAGACAGTGGAGAAATAACAATATATTCCAAATCTATTACAAATTGAACAACAGGATATTAACAAAGCAAGTCAAAAACAATTTCTTCCTACGTCAGTCTGAAACTTTTGAATATTTATGAGATTTTACATTCCTAAATTTAACAGGAGTGCCATAATCCAAAATAACTGCTGAATTAATAGCCAGGAGATAACATTTGTATAAAAGAACCATTTGCTTTACAACAGCAATAAAGGAAACAACAGAATTATGAGTGCAGAGCCTAATTTGAATAATGTTAAAAAAAATGATATGTTGAGGGGGCTGCAGTAATATTCTGGCTGCACCTGGCATTGACTATCCTCAGCTTCTTAGGCTAGAAATTCAGAAGTCCRGGGTTTAGGGAATAGTCATTAAAACTTCATTTTTTAAATTACAGAGATTAAAAAAAAWTAATAAGGCAGAATTATTAAAATATATCCCTCCCTGAAATTTTGCAGCACTGCAGGAAAGATTCCAGTGGATTTCTTAAAATGAACAGCAGTAACAACACTCTTTTTCAGGAAAACAGACAGGATGGAAGTACCATGACACCAAAAGGAAGGGGCAGGCAATTAAAATTCAAGTTACAGTGAAATTATTTTTGAGCATTTTAATGTTCAATATCCCTTTTCTAAAAACAATTAAGAACTTTATACTCTGGAATCTTTTTAGCCTGCAAATCAAGCAATTTCAACGGTCTTCATCCTTGAGAAAATTTACATGACTGTTTTGTGAGTTTATGGTAAATTAAAGTCAGATGTGCCTCCTCTGGTCACGTTTCCAAACCCCCAGTACTAACCCGAAAATTTGTATTGAAAGGAATCAAGAACACAACTTTGGCTGAACACATCAAAGGCAACTGGTCTTACCTAATAAAATACAAACTTGGCAGTTGCCAGACCAGGAAAATATCAGTTGTAGGTAGCTTGGAAAAGAGRATGTCATGGCTCCAAACATTAGTATAAGAGTAAGATGTGTGATTGCTCCATACTCAGGTGTGCATRGGATAGGGGGGAATGAATACAGGAAGGGGGAAAAGCACCTTTGTACTCAATTCTTCTTTGAGACAGATTCTCCTTTCCTCACTGCTCTTTGCTATCATGTAAATTCTATCACAGCCTGCTCAGTGCACGTGAACAGGTAAGAGACAAGTGGCTGGTTGAGCCTTACCTTCCATCAGCCATCACAAAAGGCCATATGTCATTAATGATCATCTTACTGCAAAACGCACGGAACACCAAAGTGGCTTCCACCATAAACTCACAGTTCTGGCCACTATAAAAAATAGCCCTTGGGAACTAAACTAGAAAAATAACATTTTTGGTGCACAATTAATAAGCCTTTGGGCTGCCGTGGATGAATAAAACCTAAGAAGGAAAATGCTTACTAAATGATATTGCACTACCTCATCCAACAGCATATTCTTCACAGTCTTCAATATCCATATTTGATAATGAGATAAAATCAGATGTAAAGAAACTAGTGAGTTCTTCTGAAAGCATTCTTCCTCTTTGTAAAACGTGTACTACCATGGAAGCAGTCCAGCTAAACACAAAAAACCACTGAAATATTTTGCCACTTCATCTTAAAATTTCTCTACTTCAGTTTTAGTACCTGTGTGGATAAGATATCCACATTTGGATAGTGCTTGTTATACAAGGAAGGTATCTTGAAACATACTGGTAAGTATATTAGTATGGCTTTGGTTAAGAAAAAGGGCACATGCTGCTGTTTGATATACTCAGCTTCCTTCTTATGAGATATCAGAACTATTCTGTAACAGCAGCTTCCACTTACTGAATGCAGTCCACTCTTGCACAGCCTTCTTTACAAATGGCATGTGCAGTGATCAGCAAGGTTTCCTCACCAGAAAATACTGCCAGACTGATGGAAAAAAGTAACAAGAAACTTGATTATATTTGAGACATATAAAGATACCTCGTGAAATATATATCCCAAAGTAGCAAAAAAAAAAAAAAAGGCAAAATAACATGGTGTACATCCTAAATCCCAGGGGCACTGTTAGAGCCCAGAGTCCACATGCTATTTAAATAGCAGGTCAGGATCTGACCTCATTTACACTCTGGAGGGAAAGTAAAGCTCCAGACAGGACGACACACATAGAAATAAAACTGCCTTTTCAAGTATCTCTTCTTCTAGAATCTCTCTCAGAAGATTAGGAATGGAAAAACCTTAAAGGATGATCATCAAAAGCTGCAGAGAAAGCATCAAAGTGAAGAATATTTAACTGTAATRCCTTCATTATCTCTCACATAATCTTCTATGATTCTGTGAAGCCATTTCGGAGACAGTATTTTCTGATGGCAAAGATTTTCATTTGTGAAAAGTTCTTTTCATATATAAAGGCCTCTAAAATACTTGTTATATCTATAGCTGCAGGCAGGTATCTTTTAAAATAGATCTTTATAGTCAGTTATTAGCCGCAGTGGACAAATTTTGTACTTCTTCATAGCCATGGAAGACCAAAGCCTGTTATATTCCAGTCTCACACATTTACTCTCTCCAAAAAAGAAAGAATCAAATGCTGCAGCTCAGGCATGTTTAATGCCCAGAGCAAACTGGCTTTTAAAGGCCTCCATCTGTTACTGGAGACTGCAGATGGCAACTCTTTGCCCTTCACAATGCTGAGTTAGCACCTCTTCTCCAATGACCAACTGAAACAGAGGCAGGACCGTTGCATTTAAAGGGAATTTTACAATATTTACAGTAAAGGGGAGTGGGTATGGAAAATAAGAGTGT